AGAAGCTCCTCTATGCCCTCTGGATCATATCACGCAAGCTACGCCACTACTTTGATGAGCACAAAGTAACATTGGTATCTGACTTCCCACTTAGCGACGTCGTACGCAACCAGGATGCAACTGGATGCATATCCAAGTGGTCAGTTGAACTTGGAGCTCAGAACATTGAGTTTGTTTCCCACAAGGTTATCAAATCACAAGTCTTGGCAGACTTTATAGCCGAGTGGACAGAAGCCTAGCAACCCACCCCGACAGTTATACTCGACCATTGGAAGATGCGTTTTGATGGCTCTCTCAAACTAGGAGGAGCGGGTGCTAGTGTTCTATTTATATCTCCAGAAGGAAAACAACTAAAGTATGTGCTACAGATACTCTTGTCGGCTACCAACAACAAAGAAGAGTACGAGGCCCTCCTTCACAGCCTCCGAGTAGTAGTCTCATTTGGCATCAAGCGATTACTCATCTGTGGTGAGTCCTCGGTCATCATCAACCAGGTGAACAAAGATTAGGACTGCACCAAGGAAACCATGGACGCCTACTGTGCAGAAGTCCACAAATTGGAGAAACACTTTCAGGGCCTAGAAATTCTCCATGTCATGCGAGATCTCAATGTTGCAGCTGATGCCTTAGCTAAATTGGGATTAGATAGAGCCCAAGTACCCCCTGACGTATTCGTACAGGAGCTCCAAGTACCCTCAATCAAATAGGAAATTTCTGCACCTGCCGGTACTCCGACTCCTGACATCCAAGTACTAACGGTTAACCCGGCATGGACCCAAGTATTTATCAACTATATCCGAGAACATAAACTCCCTGAGAACAAGGTGGAAGCAGAACAGATCACACGCAGAAGCAAGAATTATGTCTTAGTCGGAGACAGACTCTACCGATGAGGCGTGTCATCTGATGTTCTCCTTAAATGCATCACACACTGAAGAAGGGAAGGAAATTTGGAGGAAATCCATTCCGAGTGCTATGGGAATCACGCAGCCTCTAGGACTCTAGTCGGCAAGGCTTTTAGGTCTGGGTACAATTGGCCTACTACTCTGAAAGACACAAAAGAACTCGTACGATGTTGTAAGGGCTGCCAGTTTTTTGCCAAGCAGGCTCACGTACCAGCCCACAACCTCATCTGCATCCCCCATCATGGCCCTTCTCCTGCTAGGAAAGACCAACGTCAACAAAACACAAAAATACACATAAACAAAAAAGAAACGCACAAGTAAAAAATAAACGAACCTCTGGCAGTTAGGGCTATGTCCCCGAAGGACCAGCCCCAACTTGTAAAGGGCCTTCGGAGGAGCATGCAGCCCCTTGACGGCAAGATCCACCCCATCCGGAGCAGGCTTCTCCCAGGGATAGGCGTCTCCATCGCCTTTGGTCAGACCAACTGAAAACAAAAACGAGGAAGCTCAGATAAATGCACACAAGCAATACACACCAGTCCAACAGAAAATATATTACCCAGAAGCAAAGCGCCTGAGATTCCTCCGGGCCTTGGGGCAAAGCTAAGGGCGGCCGCTCTTTGGACTCAGCCTCCGGTTCCTCCAAGTGCTGGGCCTTTGCTAACCAACCAGCATTGACAGAGGTTTCTTCACTGGCGGAGGCAGAGGCAGAGGCAGAACCAGCTCCCGCTGCATCGCCCTCAAACTCAGAAAAGTCATCCCCAAGAACGCAGGGCAATGGATTCACCATGACCATCCCCGCCCACGCAACTGCAGCCGCCTTAACGGATGAACCCATCAGGTCTTCGTCAGGGTGGCTGGCGGATACTTGTGCTTCGATATAACGCCCAGATGAGGCGAAGCGACCCAGAGCTCGCTTTGAACGCTCGGCCACTTCCTCAGCCAAATCCATGACGACCTTAGCCACCTTTCTCTTCTTGGCAACAGCCTTCGGGGCATCACCTTCTTTTGTTTTCTTCGATTCGGCCCACACTAGAGCAATAGGGGCCGCGGCGGACCTGGAAGCCTCCGTGGCTTTGTCTTCCACCGACTTCAGTATCTTCTCGGGGACCTTACGATCCCCATACTTCACCTTCATCTCTTCGAAGACTCGGTTCAACCGGGGCATGGTACAGCCAATGGCGCGGCGGGACAAATATTCCCTCTCAGAGATCTCCCCAAGGATCTTTGAGGCCGATTGCTCCACCTCATTGATGAACTACTCGTCTGTCTCATCCTCCACGTGGGAGAGATAGAAGTAGGGGCAGAACTCCCTCTCCGCACTGCCAAAAACTGGTAGCTTCATCCTTACTAAAGTCATCCGAGGCCTATGCTTCCCAAGAGGCCAGAAGTTGGACACAACCATCTCTTCGACAAGATCATGGCCTTCGGAGAAACGGCAGGCTTTCGCAAAAGCAGTGTCGCACGCCGCTCTCTCTGCATCAACCTCCGAAGGGGTCCTCACGCGGGTCGAAGGCTTCATCTCTCCAATGATTGAAGCGAAGGGGTACTTCTTCACCTTCGGCCTAGTCTTCGGAATAACGCCGGGGGTCTTCACATAGAACTAGTACTGGGGCCAGTCCTTCTCCCACTTGTTCTTCTGAGTGAAGGATATCTCCAAGCCGCCCTCCTTCTGCACCCTCTTCGCCATAAATGCACAGCTAGCAAACCAGTACTCCACCTCCACTCCGTCGACCTTCGCCTTCTTGGGCTGGTGCTGAAGCTCATAATACACGCAGAAGGTGTCCAGGTCCGGTGGAGCCCCATACGTCTCACACGCACAGTTGGCATAAGATGATGTAGTTGTACCTTGAAGGTCTCCAAGACCAACCGAAGGAAGTAAGTTGAAGGGATCCAGAGGCCGCAAGCAAAAAAGTCCTTGAACACGATGACCTCATCTACCTCTGGCCGAGGAACTGTCTTGCCATGCGGGGGACGGCCTTTTCCCTCCGGAAAGCAACCCTCCTCCTCCAGCGACTTTATTGCTTCCTCCGTCATGAGTGAAGGCCCGAAATCCCAGGACTTGACCATCTGAACCTTCGACTTTTTGGCACGAGAAAAAGGAACCAAGTCTCCAATGGAAGCCTCAATGCTCTCCAAACCGTCTTGAGCCTCCGCCGAACGGACATGCACTCCTCCTACCTCCGCAGCCAACCCTCCGACCTAACGCCGAGCAAGCAGGAGAAAGGATCACTAAAGCTGGGCCAGCGAAGGTTGGAACTAGCCGGCGAAGCCACTTCCGAAGGCAGCGTGAAATCAAGGAAGTAGCAGCGCGAGCAAAAGACCTAAGCCCTAAGCCGCTAAAGCGAAGGCAGCACAACAGCGCAACAACGGGCTTGGAAGAGCACTAAGGTGATGAAAGCGATGGTTCGAGGGGTTCGATGGGTGCCTCCTCACCGCCCCCCCTTATATAGGCCGCGAACGGGCGCTTCGCATTCCGTGCGCCAACGGTCACGGCTGTTCCCCAACAGTCACGGCCGTTCGAATAAGCATCGGTCACCGAGCCATCGCAGCCTATCAGAAAGTAAAACGTCGCCTTACCAAACGGTCCGTCACGGGCGGCCAGGGGAAGGGGGGAGAAAGCCTCCGCCACTCCATATCGATGTCAAATTTTGAGGATCATGGCCCGCTCGCACCGGACCGCACCCTCAAGGGGGGAACTGTTGGGACAGCAATACACAGATTCGTGGAGGCTAAGGCTAACATTGCTCAACAACCTGGGGTTGTCTTTGAATGATTCGCAAGAACACTCGGTACAAGCCTTCGGATGAAGCCACCGCGACGCGGAGACTCGGGAGATGCGGGTGAAGGCCAGCGGGATCTTGGAAGGCGCCCGGAAAGCCTTCGTCGGAGGCGGCGGGCCTCCATTCGCGGTCATCGGATATGGCGAAGGCCCGCCTGCGGGCTCGTCTGGGAAGCAGGAAGCGATCGAGGAGGGAGCCGTGCGGGCGAAGGTCGGAGGCACCAGCGCCCTGAGCGGAGAACCTGTATGCCCGGACAGCGGAAGAAACAACAGGGCCGAAGACCGGAGTTGGGCCCTTGGTGGGCCGGAAGATGAGGTCCAAGAGGCAAAGACAGTATGGAAGATAAGGACTGGAATGACCCTAAGGGTTCAAGCTAGAAATAGGGATATCTTAGGAATATGCCCTAGCTGTGAGGGGGCAAGATTGTAACACGTGAATTTGGGAAATGGTGCCCTATAAAAAGGGAGCACCTGGTGTAAAAAGCACGGTGGGTGACCACATTAATGAAGCCATAATTTTTTCCATCTCCACTGACTCCCTTGCCCTCTGCCCTCCTCCCAGCCCCTCTGAGAGGGAGCGGAGGCCTTCTCTCCATCCCTGTAGAAAACCCGCGCTTTCCCAACACCCCGATAACCTCTTCGTCGCTATAACCCACGCACGCCGGATCGGATCGACTCGCTATTGCTGTCGTCGAGACACATGGGGGCTTCCTCTTCCATGCCAATTGCTGGAACCGGCCGCGCCGATGCTGGCGTCGACAAAAGCTCGTCGGAGACCCACGCCACGGAAGTGTCCGTCTCGCACGTGCTTACCATCAGCGGTTACTCCCAGAGCAAAAGCGTTGCACCCGCGAATACATCAGCTCGTCCTTCACCGCCGCCGGCCACCGTTGGTCCATCTTGTACTACCCCAATGGCAGTGGCAGTACTGACACGGACGCCGAGTACATCGCTCTCTTTGTATCCTGTACTGACACGGACGTCAAGGCACGATCCACGCTGTGTTTACTGGACAAGGACGGAGAAGTCGCCCACACATGCAAAACCCGGTTCTACGCTCGCATGAGTGGTGTCTCGAGATTCATCACTAGGTGGGATTTGGAGAGGTCGAAGGTGGTCCAAAAGGAGGACGCCGCTGTCGCAAAGTTCGTCGACGTGCCGCCGTCTGATGTGTTCCAGCATCTCGGTGATGTCCTCTCGAGCGGCGACGGGGCAGACGTCATGTTTGAGGTCGATATGGGGAGACCTTCCGCGCGCACCGGACCATCCTCGCTGCCCGGTCGCCAGTTTTCCAGGCTGAGCTGTTTAGCCCCATGAAGGAGGGCACCGCGACCTGCGTGTGGATCCTGGACATGAAGCCGATGGTCTTTAAGGCGCTGCTTCACTTCGTCTACAACGACGTGCTGCCGGAGATAGACGAGGGCGAGACGATGGTGATGGCACAGCACCTGCTCGTCGCGGCGGATAGGTATTGCCTGGAGAGGATGAAGTTGATCTGTGAAGAGAAGCTCTGCAGTTACATTGACACGAGCAGTGTTCGGACAATGTTGGCGTTTGCTGACCAGCATGGCTGTCATGGGCTTCAGAAGGCGTGCCTGAATTTTCTCATGTCCGGTGGCAACCTGATGGCAGCTATAGTGACTGGTGGCTTGGAGAACGTGATGAACAGCTGCCCCTCCGTCAAGGAGTTGGCCGTGAAAAGTTGCTCCTAAAAGTCATTATTCAGTGACGTTTTAATGCATATCATGAAAGCATGCATCAACATTTAGGACTGAATCATTATTCATTTCTGATACGCTGAATTAAGTATAATGTAACTCTGTTATCAAGTTTATTTATTTCTAACGTTATTTATTTGACGCCTTCACGGTCTCAGTACCTTGTATTTTTATTTAGATGTCGCCTACTCGCCTCCCACGGCGTTGCCGCTCTTTTATAAAACATAATATGTTGGAAGTATTACCTTGATCGATAATGAATAGAGGTAGGCGTCTGTCCGGATGCCGCGCGCCCCACTCCGCTTTGCTGCTGCCACGTCCCCACGCGGTGGGTCCCATCCCGCGCCGCTTGCTCCACACTCCCGCCCATCGCAAGCCCCACCCGCGCCTCTCGCTCCTCGGTCGCACTGTTGCGTGCCCCACCCATGCCGCTCACTCCTGCGCTGTCGCGCATGCCACCCGCCTCTGCTGTCCCGTTTCTTGCCCTCCCCACCTCTTGGGTCGCTCTCTTGATCGTGTATGTTGACAGCAGAGTGCCTCCCCAGCCTTTTTCCCAACCCCAGCGTCGTTGGAATGCCTCAGGTCGTCACTGGCCGAGCCAAGGGAAACCACGGGCGCGGCCGGTGCTGGTGGTGCTCGTGTACCATAGCTCGCTGCCGGCTCCCACCCTGACATCCAGAATCGACTGGCCCCGGCCTCCTGACACCTATGATGCAAATGTATGTTTCAAGTGTTTTTGATGTTTCAGACGTATGTTGCAAGTGTCTCATATGGATGTTGCAAAAGTAGATCGGGATGTCGTATATGTTGCAAGTGTTTAGGAGGCATGTTGCAAGAGTATGTCCAAAATGTTCCATCTGTTTCACACGTATGTTGCAAATATTGTCTCGATGTTGCATATGTTCCACACATATGTTGCAAGCGTATGTTCCAAATGTTTAATCTGTTTCAGTCGTATGTTGCAGCAAGTGTTTCATATTGCAAGTGCAGACCGCTGGCGTTGGTGTTGACGAGGGCAGTATGGCCAAGCCGCGGCCATCAATGTGGGGAGGAGGTGCAGGTTACCACCGGCGGTGTGGGGAGGAGGCACAGGCCACGCGACGCTGTTGTTGAAGATGTGTGGCGAGTCATCCGGACGTCGTGGGAGAGGTGGGCGCGGGAGGTATGGAATAGGCGGGCGGCACCAGTGTGGAAGAGGCGGAGACAAGTCATCCGGGCGGCATGATCAGCGGTGCAGAAGCGGGCGGTCTGGAAATGGGCACGGGAAATGGAGCTGGCACGTGTGGCGCGTGAATCTAAGTGGACATGGCAAAGCAGGCACGGGCGTCCGTCCGGATGTCCGGGCGCTAGTCTCACCATACCTTGATCCCTTCCCTCATTCATCCCATACGAGACACCAACATGCATTTTTTCGCTAGCATGGGTGATTTAGATTGAAAATTAGGAATTTACATTATATTTTGTTCCATAGTGTAAAGGTGGGAAATTTAGATATAATTTGCGGGTAACATTATGTTGGTTTTATAACGGCGGAGACACGAAACTCTTTTGAGAACATATTAGATCCAATGGCTATTATTATCAATGATATCTTGAGTTTATACGAAACTTCCACGGAGACTGGTCTAACACTACTACAAAAACGCTGTGCAGCAACGCCCCCTTTTTTTTAGGGGCGGCTCAATATTGAGCCGCCCCTATAAATGCCTCCCAAATGAGCCACCCCTACAAATCTATTTGTAGGGGCTGTTGGTTTTATGAGCCGCCCCTACAAATGGTCCCATTTGTAAGGGTGGGTCTATATCCAACAGCCCCTATAAATTAATTTCCAGAAATCATGCTATTTGTAGGGTTTTTGTGCCCGGAATCGTATGATTTCTGGAAATTGATTTGTAGGGGCGGCTAGCCAACCGTCCCTACAAATCGGGCATTTATAGCCACCTCTTCATAGGGGTGGTTGACAAAACTACCCCTAGCAAGGGTTACGAGCCGCCATTAAAAAACATTCTTGTAGTAGTGTAAGTCATACGTAGGTACCTTAGTTAACAATACTATTATTAGTACGCCCGGCATTGAAAGGCTAACAAAAAGACTCAGCTATTTTTTAACACCTTCCAAGAAATTGAGTAGGACCTGTAAATGTTAAGATTGACAAAGTCACCGTAGGTGTGATCTCCCAGTCGATGGGCACGCGATGGGCACGTTGCCTACCACCGGAAGAATATCACTATTAAATACTAGAATAAGTTCAGGGCTAAATCGTGAAATAAATTCAGAAAAATACGAGCATCCGTAAAAATCTAGGACTTGAGATGGTCAAATTCAACTACAAAGAACCTAACAGACAGCAAGTTTCAGTTTGCTTATAATTTACGTATAAATATAAGAAAGGCGGTTCCTTTTTAATCACTCCATGCTGCAGCGTAAACGAGCATCAATTCCAGCTAGCATCAATGCCAGGTCAACAGTTATGAGAAAATATAGCAGCTACCAAGCAGTAAAAAGGTCTGCCAACTTTAACTGCTCATATACTGATTCTAACTCATCCTACATGTCAGTACAAATAAATCTTCTCTTAAGTAATGCATACGTTAATTACAATTTTTTTACGATTACAGTTTACAATATTATTACCATATGTACGCCCCGCATTGATAGCTTTCAAAGAATTTTTAATAATACTTATAATTAACAAAAGGTTCGCACGCCATTGATCCTATATATAAATATGCATCGCCGGCCCATCGATGTATATGTACCAAAGCCATCGACCCCCATACACACATAAGTATACAGCTCAAACCGATCCATTCATTGAGATCGAGAGCTAGTTTATATTTTGCTACCATTTTCATGGCTTGCAAGGTGGTGATCATGGCTGCAGCTGCAACTGCCCTAATACTGTCCTCGTTCCTTTTGCCGTCGTCAGATAATACTCTACTTAACAAATGCTTCGCTCTCCTCGTCGTCTTCTACATCCTGCTAGTTTGTGACAGCCGTAAGAACATACAAAATCTCTGTTGGATTAAGCAGACGCAAGGGCCATGTGCCCGTTGTTCCGCAGCAGGGTTCCGGATTGCCACCACGACGCAATGCGTTGCCTAGCTCGGTGCCAAGACGAAGGCTACGTGGGCGGATTCTGCACCTTCCAACAGGTCTGCATGTGCGCGCAGTGCAGCATGCCGGCTGATTATCAACTAGGACTGTTGCCGTCGCCTCTGCCAGCACCAGCACCAGCACCGGAGCCATGAGAGCATCAATGCGCGGTACGGTTGTTGTATTCCAATTACCGGAATAAATAATGGTGGTGGTTTTGATTTCGTGTGGCGGTTACATTGATAAGATTTTTTTTTTGACAAAGTATGGTAGCACATTTGGTCATATATACAAGTGCAAATGGTTTTGACATGATCTCTCTGCTGACATGGTAGTGTGGCTTGCTGGCTATATAGTATTGACGTGGACCAGCATGCGAAGCCCACATGTTATGTCCACCTTCTCTCTCGTTCTCTCGAAGCATATGAGAGTGGACTCTAGCTATTGCTACTAGTACAGGGCGGGTTGGGCAAGGAGGGAAGGAGAGCACCATTAGAAGAACCGCTACCGGAGGTCCAGATGGATGCCCGTGTGCGGATGCCCACGCTTGCACTACTGTTTCGCGTGCGCCCTGTGGGGTTCCACGTCGATCGAATGTCACTGACATCGAGAAGAGGGGAGGAAGCGCGCCCTTTGCGCGCGTACCTCTGGTTCAGAAGGACCCATAGTGTGCCCGGCCGTGGCATCGTAACGGATGCCCACCTAGCGCTGGGACGAGGAGACATCAAGGTGAGGTAGTAGAAGGCAAGTAGAGAGATGCAACACCCGATATATATTTAAACATCCAAATACAATACTTGCAACATCAGTATAAAGATGGATGAAACACTTCAAATATGTGTCTGAAACACTTGTCAAAACACCTGAAAAACCCGTGAAACCATTGTAACATACACAAACATCTTGATAAAAGACTTGCAACATATGTGTGCAACACATGCAACATCCTGATAAACATACTTGCAAGATATGTCTGCAAAACATATAAAACATTGGGAACAGAAGCTTGCAACATAGGTGTACAACTATTGCAACATCACAGTCTACTTTTGCAACATCCATATGAAACACTTACAACATACCTATGAAACATCTGAAACACTTCAAACATACATTTGCAACATGTGTTTTTCACCCTTCTTTCGTAAGACGCAGTGCGGAGTGGGAGAACGTCTAGTTTTGGCCAGCTGGTGGGCGAGGATGGTGGCGCGGCCTGGTAGCGGCCAGTTGCACCTGCACCTGGCCTGGGCCCAACCACAGCACCTCTCCTGGCTGCCTGGGCACACGCGGCGACGATGAGGAGGCACAAAGAGACGTGAGGAGCACAATGGCGCGGCAACTCTGAGCTCTACTCTCCCGAACCATGGCAGATGCAAGGCAGAGAAACAAACGACGAGAGAGATACCGAGGGCGCAGCAGGGGCGTGGCTAGAGCGAGGAGCGAGGGGCGTGGGTAGGGCGCACAACGTGTGAGGGCAAGGAGATAACGGCGCGGGATGGGACACGTGGCAGCAGCGAGGGGGAGTGGGTGTGCGATGTGCGTGCGGACGGACGCCCACGCCCTATCATTATCGTTAGCAGAAGCAAAGTATTTAAAGCAGGGCCGCTGCCACGGTAGGAACAGGTGACGAGGAGAGAGATGTGAAAGAAGAAAGGGAGATGGATCTAACATGTGGACAACACAAGACAGGTCACTTCAATGCATAAGCAATATGGCACGTTAACGTAGAGAGCAAATCGAGATCCGCTTGATCTCAAATGATCTGAAACCAAGTTAGGCATCTCGATAACATCGAACGACCAGAAAGTAGCATTTTCTGAGTTGCGGGACCAAAACGACACCACCATTTAAAAGTCTAAGGACCGTCGTGAATTTTACTCTTATAATTCAGACCCCGG